TCCCTACACTCCACTGAGAATCAAGTTTCAGCTGGCTTACTGACATGCACCATTTGGACTTATCCACAGAAATACTGAAATATAAACATCAAAGTTCTTAAGGATAAAAAGGCCTTGGCAAGAGGCAACTTGAAATTTATCCTAGTAAGTAATTTGTCTTCATACAATTCTGAATCTAGAAGAACAGGTCATACCTGTCTGGTTTTTGTTTGCTTTAAAGAAGTGTGGCTGAGGACAGTTAAATAGATTTCTTTATTCTGGGCTGTTTTCTAGAATTACTTGCCACTCACAACTTTGCAGTACCAATGTTTCTTGCTTTAATTTAATGTGAACCGTAGCTAATTTGGAACATGTGACAGCAATCTTTAAATTAACTGAGATGCCCTAAAGCTGGGATGGGAAGCCAGTTTTTGGTAAAAGCTCCGCAGTTCGGCCTAATAATGAAATCTCAGGCCGACTCAAAGAGAAATCTTGCTAACCAATCACGGAGTGTACGAATTTAAGACCAACTGCGACAGATAAAGTTATCTCCGAACAAACTGGTGCCCAGAAGCGCCTGGGCTGGTGTGACTGAGTGAAGTGCAGAAGCTGAGGGGCCCCTCAATGCTCCTCAAATCTGGAACTACGGTGCCCAAAACCAAACAGCCAAACCCCCCTAACAGTTACTCTCCGTCCTGCCTGCTGCTAAGGACTACAGCCAAAGCGCGTTTTACCATTTCAGCTACTTTCTGGCTGGGAACCTAGGCTCAGGGCCTCCTTCTCTACAAAACAGCAGCCTCTCCACGTTGTTGGGAGAAGTGAGATAATACAACACACTGTCCAGCGGTTTGAAAAATCTTAGGTACAATAATATCCGCACGGCAAGAAAGGAAAACCATACAGGAGGGGATGGTGCTCCAAGTCGGACGCACTTGTCCCGTTTACGCCTGATTCTTTCTACCCAGTCCGCTCTATTCAGCAGCCAAGGCCTGGCCGGGGTCCTCGGGGTCCCTCGGTTGACCCCTCCCCAGGTGGACCCAGGACCCGCGGCTCCGCGCGACCCCGGCCCCACGGCGGCGCCTCCCGCCCGGACCAGTAGCCCGCGGCCGAGTACCTGCGTCCAGCGGCGGCCCGTAGAGCATGAGCGCGGCCGAGAGTACCGCGACAACGGCGGCGCCGGCAACCGCAGCCCCGGCCCCCGCCCGGGTGGCCATGGCCGGGAAGGCCACTATCGCGCTTACCTCCCAGGCAGCTCCTGACGGCCCCACAGCCGGAACTCACAGCCATCCGCGGACTTCCGGTATCCCGGCCGCCCCCGCGCGGCCGCGAGACTCACCGCCCTCGGCGGACTTCCGGTATCCCGGCCGCCCCCGCGCCGCCGCCGGAAGCGGGCGGCCAACTCCCAGTGGTCCGAGGTCCGGACTCGCCCCGCCCTCGAACTGGCCTCTGCCGGTCAAAGGCGGCCGGAGACGGTCGGTTTCATCTAATTTAGGTCTCAGCTCAACTGTCGTCTTATCCGTGCGAAAACCTTCCTAACCATTCTGTATAAGAGGATTCACACCTCCTCTCCGCCATCCTGAACCCTTGCCCGCCTTTATTTTAATTCATAGCACTTTTCACTACTTGACATGTGCATTCATTCATTCATTCGTTCGTTCATTCATTTTCAAAGGTCTAACCCTGACTATGAAAGTTAGCTCCAGTGAAAAAGCTTTATTTGTTCTGTGCTGTGTGCTCAGCACCTGGAACTGGGCACACAGTAGGTGCTTTTTCTCTCTCCATTGAGGTATAATTTACATGACAATAAGATTCACTAATTTTAAGTGTACAGTTTTATGAGTTTTAACAAATGTATATAATCAGGTAATCACCACCGCATGATTTAGAACATTTCTATCAACACACCCAAATCATGCTTTTGATGCTATTATTGTTATTTTTTAATTTTCAATTGTTCATTGCTTATATATGGAAATACAGTTGATTTTCATATACTGTCATTGTACCCTTTGACCATGCTAAATTTTCCTATTAGTTCCAGCAGATATTTCTGAGATTATTTGGGACCTTCTACACAAGCAATGTCAGTGAGCCCCATTTTCAGGTGACATTAACTTCGTTCATTTTGATCGCTTGGTTAAGGTGGTGTTTGCCAGATTATTTATTCAGTATGAACTACTGAATTTTTATTTTATTTTATTCAGAATTTTTATTTTATTTTTTATTAACCAGTAGGTTATTTATTACCAGTGTGAATTCATGAATTTTTATTTTATTCATTTATTTTATTTATATTTTATTTTATGTAATAATTTTATTACATTACCCTTTGTCCTATTTCAAATGTAAACATATAAACATACATTTATAAATGTAAATGTACATTTCAATGGGTCACCTAGGAGCCACCTCTAACCTTGTGATGTAGCGATTCTTGCTTCTCACAGAACGTGAGTTCCTTCTCATGGGCACCTCCCCTTTGATTTTGGGGAAAAGATCTGTGTAAACTTAGGAAATGTGTACAAATCAGTTACACTGCATCTTCCTTGCTCCTCTATGAGGCTGTGAAGTCTGAGAGGTGGTGCTGCCCCCTGGTGGATTGTCGGGGATAAGAAATAAGAGGGTGGGTGGGGCTCGTCTCACCCGGTGTCCAGGTTCACCGATGCCATCATGATTTGTCTTATAAAGCCTGAAGGACCGGGAGTGAAAGGTGACCAGCCCGCAACGTGGGCGCCCACCGCGTGTCCCTCACCCTTCCCAACATCACCTCCGAATAACATACAGTCGTCCCCCCTCATTCGAGGTTTTGCATGCCTTGCTTTCAGTTACCCTCAGTCAACAAAGGTCCGAAAATATTAAAATGGAAAATTCCAGAAATGAACAATTCGTAGGTTTTCTTTGGCTTGCATCAGGTCTTCGTTGCTGCACGCGGGCGAGCGGGGGCTACTCCTCGTTGTGGTACGTGGGCTCCTCATTGTGGTGGCTTCTCTTGTTGCGGAGCACGGGCTCTAGGCACGCAGGCTTCAGTAGTTGTGGCGCACGGGCTTAGTTGCTCCGCGGCATGTGGGATCTTCCTGGACCAGGGCTCGAACCCGTGTTCCCTGCATTGGCAGGCGGATTCTTAACCACTGCGCCGCCAGGGAAGCGCCCCACCCCCCACCCCGCCCCGTATCTTCTGAGTCCATGAAATGTGGCCAGTGCAACAGAGGAACTGAATTTTACATTTTAATTAACTTACATTTAAATAGGCACATGTGGTCTCCCATGTGGGACAGTACAGCCCTAGGACATTAAGAAGCTAAACAAATGGAAAATATTAGGTTAGCTTTGAGCGGGAGAAATTTCAGCGTGTGCTGTATCGTGCACTACACCCAACACTCCAGGTCACATTTCCTCCTGGGTTGTTTGCTTTGCAGTTACTTAATATTCACCTGGAGTGCCCTCTGCTGTCTCCAGGATGACTGTGTTTTGAAATGTGGCCAATGTGAGCAATTTCGGATGAACATCAGTTCTCTCAACTCTGAAAACTAGCCCAGACCTAACCATCCTTATCAGACAGTTCTGTATTTACATCCGATCCTTCAGAGGTTATTCAAGCAGAAATTCTGCTGGAGGTAAGTTAGAAATTAACTCAGGAGGCAATTATGACATTTTATCATGGTAGTGAAAGGAACACAGACATTTCTGGACTCTTGATTCGCCATTGTTTCTGCTAAACCTTCTCTTCTTGGCCGAGATTATGCCTTTGGGCCTTGCTAAGAGCTGGTGTCTGACATTAACACTTATATTCTGTCTTAGAGGGAAAATAGCTGGGAAAACCGGGACTAGATTTGCACGGGTCTGGGGCAGATGTGGGCAAAATGGCAGGTGGCCTTTAACATGGGTTCCAGGAATTCAAGTCCAACCCAGGAAGCATGGAAACCTAATGAAGAATCTTAAGAGGAGGATTAGAACCTCTGTTTGGTTGGTGGGCATAACGATTTTATGGGTCAGAATCATCTCTCATAGTTGATTCAGGGGCAAGTTAACAAAAAGTGAGAGAGAGAAGCCAGGCTGTATTTATCATCCTTAGGGAATACGGTACTATTAAATTTAAAAAACATTTGGCATAGTTAACACATTTATTGGGTAGAAAAAATCAACGATGCAGAGTCCAAGTTTGTGGAGGAAAATCATTTGCTTATTCTGTAGGCCACATGAGTCACTAAGTAAAAATCTGAGCATCGAAGTTTTATTACCCTCCATCTAGGAGACGTGGGGAACAATTAGAAAATGTGAATAATAAGGATGAAGCAATTCATGTGGGCTTAGATCGCCCATAAATACTTTAGAGAAAAGCACAGACCACACTGTTTGCCTTCAACTCAAAAGGCCAGAGGAATGAATTCAACGTAGGCGTGCTTTATTAGAGCAAGAGGGATTTGCAGCTTTGCTTCTGTGGAGATTAAGAGACATTCCAGATCACAGGCTTGGTGCTTGATCAAGTTTCTAACCTGGGCCATCATGATATGGTTATGGTGTTGTTTTAATTAGAGGTTTGTAAGGCAGAACAAATATGTCGAAGGCTACTTAATTCACTTCAACAAACAGGTAGTAATTCTTTACATGCACAGGGCACCTGCAAGGTGCTGGGGCTAGTGTAGATCAGGTGGACCCACAAAATACAAACAGGGTGCCCAGTGCCACGGCTGGGAGGCTGGGCACTGCTGGGAAACGAGGAGGAAGAGGCGGGGGGGGGGGCGCCTGCCCAAGAGCCACCTTCTTTCTGCTTGGCACAGGTGTGATGACGTCACTTTACTCGGAATGGCGGCACTCTCCCCAGGTCTGGAGGTTGATCCGGACTGATCTAACCTGGCACTCTGACCCCACTTCCCTTGGTAGGGTTTTTCATGAGCAATGCCATCCTGGCCACTAGGCTGTGAGGCAGGTTTCAAGGAGTGGGTTCTATGCTCTTAAAGAGGCAAAGCGGGTAGTCCAGTCTGTACACGTACCTGGACCTGGGGAAGCCGTCTTGGGGCCCTGAGGTCATCTTGCCTGAACCTGAGCCAATATTCTGCAGCGGCGGGGAGAGTGATGGAGAGCCTGGGTCCCAGGGATGCTGAGTTGGGCAACACTGGGCTCCCCAACATCTGAGGTACTAGGGGTTTTATCTGTTTTTTTTTTTTTTTTGAGGGGGTAGGGAACCTAACACCTGTTACTGCTGAAGAAAATGAGACCCAGACACTAAAAAGCAGCAGAGCTGGCATCTGGGTGTGATCTACCCTACCCCACACTGGTTAATTTATACCTCTAGCCTTTCTGAGGCTCACGTTTCTCAGCCAAATAATAAAATATATATTAATTCGTGAGAAAAAGTAGGTCTTAGATGCTGCACCAGTGGGTCAGTATCACAGGTGGATTTTTCTTTCTTTTGGTTGACTTCACGTTTGTACTGTGTCAAACAGCCAAGAGACAAGATTCAAAGGGCAAGTATTTTGTTTGATCTCTAAGCAGCCTGTTCTCCAGTGTCGGAGGGACACTGAGAAGAGGCCCGGAGATAGTCAGGCTGGCAGAGGTGAGGGGCAGAGCGCTACCATCAACCACAGGCCTGCTGGTGTCGACGCAGATAATCAGTAAACAATCTACAAGAAGAATAGAAGAGTTTTATTTGAGCCAAACTGAGAACTAGCCCAGAAGCCCTCTTCCCAGATAACTCTGAGAAACTGCTCCAGAGAAGCACGGCTGCCAGCACAGTTTTATATCTTGTCAGAGCAAAGCACCTTAAACAAGTCCAGGATACATTTCAAGGAAAAACACACACAGATCAGCATGTACACAGCGAGTCAGCGTGGCCCTACACCTGGGAAGGGAGTCTTATCATCAGAGGACGACCAGCACTGACATCTTAGGATGGGAGGCAGTTAAGCTTTCTTTTTCTTTCTTTCTTTTTTTTTTTTCTGCGGTACGCGGGCCTCTCACTGCTGTGGCCTCTCCCGCTGCGGAGCACAGGCTCCGGATGCGCAGGCTCAGTGGCCATGGCTCACGGGCCCAGCCGCTCCGCAGCATGTGGGATCCTCCCGGACCGGGGCACGAACCCGTGTCCCCTGCGTCGGCAGGCGGACTCTCAGCCACTGCGCCACCAGGGAAGCCCAAGCTTTATTTTTAACATGGACATTTTTTACTTCTGGTCAATGTGCCCTTTTCTTTACCAATTAAAGCAGATGTACAGTGTGTG